AGGGTTGATGCCGGGAGTCCCATTTGCCTTGGTTTGCTTTTATGGGGAAGGCCCCAACAGTTGTTAATTGGGGGAGCCCCAAACTTTCTGGTTTTAAGGGGATTTCGACAGTAGGAACCAGCAAGTAAGGTAGGGGATAATAGGGTATATACAAGCGCATGCGTAACTTGACTGTGCTCGTGGGGCGCGATTTGCCCCCAGGTACCTCGATGGGTGGACTTATTTCCCCCCCCCCCCGGCCCTGCCGGGACAGATTCCTGCACCAGTTGGGATGGATGAAACCCTGCGACTGGGCGAATCTACTGGTGCAGGATTGTATCCATCCGCCGTATTGTCCCTTTTCACTCAGGGCGTGCTTCGCCGTCGCCAGAATCGACCACTGCGGAGTCGGGCACCCGAAGGGAATCCGGGAGTCCGAGCAAGATGCGGCACCCTGTTGTGTGGACCAGCCTAGTTTTGTTAGAAATAGATGGCACTGGTTTAGATTGGTTTTGTTCCATTTACCAGGGCCATCTATTTGACCAAAGGGGTAGGTACTTTTGTCTGTAGGTTGTTGAAGTCTTCTTGGTTAACAAAATCTGTGTGCGTGTGTTACGGCAGGCTGTGTTTTCCACAAAACCTGTCCAAGGTTTATCATTCTGCCCATGCTTACGCTGCAAAAACATGTTGTTGGGAACATGTGCCAGTAGGTATGAGTTGTTTCTTCAGAATTTGAATCAAATGCCTGCAAGAAAAGACAACACGTTCAAACAGATGCATGATGCAGGGATCTCCCTTTTTGTTCTAACAGCTTCCAAGGCCCTAGGTTTCGAGCTGTGGGAAACTGGCTTTTGGAGGGTCACATTAAAGAGTACTTTTGCGCCAACCATGCTATTGAGACTCTCAAAGCATCAAGCTCGCGGTTCCGGGAACTTGGGAGAACCTTAACATATTCGTTTGAATGCTTGCTAATTGTTGGCCTTTGGTCGTTTTTATTGCAAGCTCACCTAGTGCGAGATCGCCATGGCAAGGTTCTTTACTTGAGCCACAATCAAAACCCGGGTAGATGAAGCTTGCGGGACAATCCCAACCATAAATAACTGCGGCCGCCTTCAAAATTCTTGAAGCATGGTTCTGGGTCGACCATTTTCATGCCGGGTTTTGATTCTGACTCGCCTGATGGATCCGTGTTTGTTTCCGCTCGGCTTGCGCCTCCGGAGGCCGTCGCCGGGGGCTCAAGGAGGGCGACCAGCCAATGCCGAGCGCCAAGAAAAAGCCGCAGGACTTCTCAGTCGACTTGAGAGATGGAATGCGTCCCTTTGAAGGGGATTTTTAGGTTGGTTTTAAAGGACCATGTTGGTTTTAAGAGGAATCCATGAGAGATAGACTCTTCCAAATATGGTATTTTGTTTTGCCTTGTTGGTGACTAACGGGAATCCCTGGACTTTCTTGTCCCCAGAAGGCAAAAAGCAAATGAACACAATGCTTCTTGGATGTCAATGGTGGGGATCTGTTGGTTATAGAGGGTTCTCTGTGAAATCCTTGACAGGGTTCCATTTTGGGCCCCCAGTTTTGAGCCATACCCTGAAACAACTGTGACTCCCGCCGTGCGACGGAAACCGAAGGGACTGATTGGTGCAAACAGTGCCAGAAGGGGAGTTCCTCCAAAGGAAACTGTCGAGAAATCCTTTCCCAAAACCGAAGTATTAACCCTGAATTCCAGGGACGCCTTGCGTGCTCAATTGCGCGCGTGGGGCTGAGGTGTTTTGGCTTTCCTATCTTGCATGTCATGAAAGCACAGCTGGAGTGGGCCGCCTTGCGAGAGTGTGCAGACAAAACCCTGAATTCCCTGCACAGGAAACCAGCAGCTTGTGAGCACCCTTCCGGAATTTCTCGAAGTCGGAAGTTCTAGGGATAGACCGTGGCCGTTGACAAATCTGCAAACAGCATGTTGGAATGTCAGTGCCTTGCTGGGATCTCTTGCGAATTTATGCTAAGCTTCATATAGCCACACGACATATGCACCATGAAATGTGCTGTTTCTACCACGCTAATGTAGGATGGCTCCCAGGCTCCTTGACGGGTATGATCTGGAAAGGCTTGTGTAGGCTTCCGAAAAATTGTGTGCAAGTTCCGTCCAGGCTGGCTTTGTTTCCTGTTGACACGTTCTCCTAACTTCCTGAGTTCCTGGAAATCATTCTTTTTGGGAAGACAATTTTAGTTGTAAATGGAAAGTTTGGCCCTTTTTGGGGCCATCGGGAAGTGAGTCCCTAGATGTCCTTAAATCCTTCTTCCCCAGGCCTTCGGCTAAGCGAATTGACCTGGATTACCATGTCTGACTTAGATTGCCCTTTCACCATCCGGTTCGCGTAACGAGTCATTGTTAGCATGGTGTTTTGCGAACGCGCATCCAGTAAAGACATTGACCCCCCGAGTTCAAACCTGCGTTTTGTGATTATTTGTTGTCGAGTGGGGGCTTGTCTTGACTCCCTTGCCAAGACCCCTCAGGCCAACATTAATTGCGAGTAGGGGTTGCGGTCGACAGAGACAGCAACCCCCGAGCTGTTTTTTGCACGCGCTCAAAATGCTGGAGCCACATCACCACATCAATACTCGAACACCCCATACTACAAACCAGGCAAACAAATAGAATAATTACGGGGGAGGTGCTTGAACCCCTAAACAGGGTCAAAAAAAGCGCAACAAGGATCAGATCAGGTGGTTTCTCGGGTAGCTTTTACTCGACAGCAACTTGAATGAACGAAAGCATCATCACAAGTACAGGGACTCCCAGGGCTGGTGGGGACACGTGGAGTCGATGTTGCAATCTCCCAGGCTACGGGTTTAGGAGTGAAGTCTGCATGGTGCCACTCGCCCACCTGAAAGGGCCGTAGCGTGCCATGTAATCAGGTAGCATTGACCAGCATTTGACATTTAAGCTTTGTTCGCTGCAAGTGGCCGCACTCGTAAGGAAAACAAATTGCTTCCGGGTAAGACAGATACAGGAAAAAACCGGAATCTCATCACTCATTTGGAAACGTGTTCATTGGGAGAGCGCCCGTTCCGGGTCTGGCTGGATCTTTTTAGTCAAGTCTTTTCCTTTCGGCGTGGGAGCTCCGTGTCTGAGGGTTTTGGAAAGCGTGTTACATTTCAAGGGAGCAATATCTTCACCTTTAGAGCTGTCTCGTTGGGGCTTGGTGTGTTTGCCGGGGGGAGGGGGCGATAGGGTTTTTGGAGTTTGAGGGAGCCGGTGCCCAAATCAACGTCGGAAGTCAGCTTCGTGTTCTTAAATGCGGAAGTCGACACAACATACGGGACTTCCATGTTAGAGTTAACAAACATATGTTTTTTGGAGTAACCTGCAAAATAACACAACAACAAAACAGCTTTTGAGCTTCCCGTTTATTTCCAGGGAGTGTAACTCATCTTTTGCGCTAGGGTAAGATAATTGATTGTAGGGAGCTTAAATCTGGGCCAGGAGGAGGTGGCCAGCAAGGGAGATGGTGAACAGCTTGGACTTGTCCTCAAACATGTGCCCCTCCCGCAGATGTGTGTTACCCTCTTTGACCCGTTTTGGATCTGCTTTTTGCCTTTCCTTTGTTGGAAAGCAGCCACGTTGTTGGGCCCCGATTTCACAATCACCCAAGTGCGTTGGTTCCCTGTTGAGATGAACCAAGGAATTGCCTGATTCCGAGGCCACTGAAAACAATTTCGCTGATCCTTTCGGTTCTTGTTATGTTTGAATTCCAAGGGTGTGAGCGGGTGCCCGCTGCTCAGTGCTTGTGATTGCGTACGCCTTCCCCTGGACGTGGACATGCTTTTTCAAGAAGGCTGCTAGTTGTCCAAGGTCCTCCTGTCCACCTCCGTTGTTGAAAGGAGGGCCTCTTCTCTTTTCTTCAAGCCCAGGCTTTCCGGCGTCAAGGGCCCGACGAACCTGGCGGCTGGCTCAGGGCTTGAGATGCCGGATTTATCCTGGAAGGTTAGGCCCTGCAGCTTGACATGACCCCCCTCCCCGCAAAAAAAAGAAAGAAGAGCTCGGTGATACCAACAGCATGTGGCGCTCTTTTTCGACCCTCGCGGAACCCTGCGAAACCTTACTTACCTCAGAGCCCTCACGCAACCTGCTGAACCTTACCGCAGAGCTGCCCCGCCCTCGCGGAACCCTGCGGAACCCTGCACAACCCTGAGGAACCCTGCGGAACCTTACCTCACGATAGACCCCGGACCTCTCTGGAGCCTATCTGGGCTGAGACCCCAAAGCTTTTCATCTGTTGAATAAACCCGGACAGCTTGATTTGACCGCGTCCCTTACAGGCTACCTTTTTGGCCAATCAACGCACCCTTCCCCAGCGGATTTAAATAAGATCCCCGTGAGCAGCTGTTGACCCCTGTTTCAGGATCTTCTTGTTTCCGGTGACTCCGTATTGAGTTCCCTGGGACATTTCTTTGGTATCGTTGGAGGGTGCAGACATGTGCCAAAATGCACCTTCGCCTTTCCGCGAGGTTGTTGCTCGAAGACAAACATCCACGCTCGCGTTGCGGCGCCCACAGGTTTTAGCACGCCAAGCTGGCGCATCGTATATCATTGCGGCGACCTCACCAGGGATTTGCGAGCATCATGAAGTTTCCTGAAAGATTGGAAGCTCTTGCTTCAGGCTGATGAAATGTCAGAATACACTCAGGGGAAATGGCTTTAGAAGGGGTCGACCAAATCCAATGGTAGTGCGTGTGAATTTGTCCATGGGCAAGTGGAAGCTCTGGATTCAACAAATGGGGGTTGTCTGATGGGAACCCCGTTTGGATGGTTTCTCTTTGGCCGGTGGCTTCCGCAACTGCCAGACACAAAGCCAGAACTGAAGGAAATTAAGCAATTATTGTTGCATTCTGAGTTTTGCCAAGCCGCACAATTATCGGCGTTTCTATTTGCTAGTCCCCCACAAACAAAAGGGTTAAGGGGCACCAAGGAAGAAATCGACACTTTGGATCCCTTGCCCCCCTCGTGAAGCTGCTTGCCGCGCCCGATGCCATGGGCAAGCCAGTTGCCTGAGGCGGGAATCCGCCTCCTCGATGGATCCGAGAGGGGTGGGGGAGATCCCAACAGTTTCCGTCCCCAACAGAAATTCGCAACGAAGATACGGTACCAAGGCGAACGTGTAGACAGGAGTGAGCGAGTTTCAGAGGCAAGGGCCAAGAAAAAAGTCACGTACTCATATGTCTCTCCCCAGGCTGGCACCTTGCACGGCTTTTCTAAGAGGGTTAGAGGAGGACACGCCTAGGGCACGCCGGAGATTCCCTTGACAAGGCGAGATTTCTTTTTTTTGAGTGGTTGAATCATCAAATGTCGAGCCCACGCAAGAGGAGTTTCTCTTCGGGGATGTTGACTGGGGGCCTGTTTTAGAGGAACTTCGCTTTGGGGGGGCCATGTCACAAATGTTTGGCCATTTTTCGCTTAAGGCAACACGCCAAACCCAGGTTCCAATTGATTGTCTAGCGGAGGATGGACTGGGGGACAAGCCGACTCTGCAAGGAAGCATTTAGTGTCACATCTCGCATTCCCCCTTTGAGTTGCGAAACGAGGAGTTTAGACTTGCTTTGACGAAAATCCACTCAAATGAGGGAATCTTATGGACCCCATGATTTCTGCCATTTTTTCTGGGTTTCGAGCTCCTTGAGAGAGGGGTGTTGGGTATATTGGGGGGTGTATCAGGATCTGCGTTCAGGTTTTGGACGCGTTTTGCAGGTCTTTTTGTTATGAGACAACGCATGCCACACTCCCATGCAGGGCTTCCTTCCGGTTCTGGCATCGTCGGCCTGGACAGAGTCTGAGACCGCCCGGAACTGATTGGGCACGGGGTGTCCAGAGGGTCGCTACTCATCTGCTGCCCGAGAGGAATGGGGAAATTGAGTTTGAGAGAGCTGCCATTGTTTTTGCAGGAGTGACCCGGCTGCCGGGGTGCAGGTTGCTGGTCGGACAAATGGCATATAGAAGGAAGCCCAAAGTGAATGGCTTTGTTCTTGATTCCAGGTATTTAGCACCCAGTCATCAAAAGAGCCGATTTGAAGCTGAGTCTTCTTGTGAGTTGATATTTAACGGGGACATAAGGGGCGATGAACCCCACAGCGAGTGCATACCAGGGTTAGCACAGGACACCTTCCCCATGGACATGTTCAGGTTTTCCAGTTGCCGTGATAACCTCTACGAGTCATTTTAAATATCTAACCTTTCGGCTCTAGGCTTGCGAGAGGGATCGCGGGTTCCAGAAATACCATTTATGTAAATAACCCATCGTGTTGAGTTTCCCCAAAGGAAGCCAAAAGTCACTGGTGGATTTGCTTCCCGACTGGCAGTGATGCGGTCTTAGTCAGTTCTGGGTTTGGCGGCCCCGGGCAGCCAGGTCTCAGATTCCGCTTCATATTTCCAGAGCCCCCAGATGGCACAGCATGCACTCCTGATGAACCTGGACCTCAAACAGCGGCGGTTTTAGAGGAATCTCAAGTCCTTTGGGCCTTTAAGTGCAGCACACAACTTCTGGGTGAGCTAGCGCGGCACTCGTCGAGTCCAAACTTTTTAGGGGTCCCTCAAGGCAACGACCTTTCGACCAAAACAACAAGGCGGGACACTTGCGGTCCAACAGACGACTTTCAGACTGGTCCAGTCTTTCAAATGGTTTCAACAAAGCAAAAAAGCACGAGTTCCGGTCCAGAATAGGAGTGACTAGGGGCCAATCAGTTGCTCGCTGTGAGTTCCAGCTTTTGGCCTCGCCGAGAAGCTGCGAGGCCAACGGCTGGCTCCAGGAGTCCAACTTGGCGCTGCTGCTGACAGGCCCGGGTTCTCCCTCCCTCACAAAGTTCCGGAACTCGGACTTCTTGGCGCCAAAGGCCATCCGGTTCCTTAGCCTAGCCTTCTAGTGTTTAGTGGTAGCTTTTCCGTTTAAGCCACCAACAGTTCCAAGCTTGGAGCGGGGGATCTAAAAACGGGCAGCCCAGTTGAGTCACTTTTTGGGTTTGGAAGATTTGAGTGGACAGACCATCCTCCCCTTTTGTTGGCCAATCCAGGAAGTGATCACCTGACAGAGGCCCGGTCTCAAGAGGAAACTCATCTTCCAGGTGCCACCTCAGTGATTCTGTGGGCAGGGTATGTGTTTTCACTTGATACACCCAGACCTCCAATTTCATACCGTGGTCTTGTCGCAGCACATAGATTTGTCCTCAACAGCGACGGCTGTCACCGCAAAATATGTCAAGCCTGGCTTCGGTGCGGGGCTAGGGCAAGTTCGCGGAGGGTTCCAGGCACCCTGAGACTGCAGATTTGTTAAATTTAATAAATCCATAGATATACGTAAACCGATGAATCTACGTAATTTTCTTCTTAAACGCACAATTTCCGTATTTGTTTTTGGTAGGCCCTAATCTATCGAGGAGGCCGAAAAATCTGCGACCTGCTAGTCCCAACGAGCCACCCGTGCCAGCGTAAAGCTGAAGAAAAATCATGTTTGAGTAGCCCGCTGGCAACGAAAGGAAAGGAGTCAGCGCATGTAAAATTGTTAATACTGCAACACGTTCAAGCCAATCGAACGCACATCCAGACTTCTTCGCCACAAAAAGCAAGTGTCTCTAACTGCGGGGGAATCCCGCAAAAGTATACAAACCACGCCTATCGCTTTTTCAATCACTGCCTTTGGCTTGGGCTTGGGCTTGGCTTGGGCCGGCTTCTTCATCAGAGGCTTAGGAGTAGCCTTAGGCTTTGCCTTTGACTTTGCCTGTTGCTGTGTGGCCGCTGGATCTGAAGGGGCATCAGACTTCTTGCTAGGTGAGCTGGTCTCCATGGCAGTAGCGGTTTAGGAAGCCTACAGGCCGCAATATGTGCGCATGTAAAATAAAGGCCTGGGAGACTTGTTCCATGACATCAAATGCTGCACGCTGTCACCCTATTGATTTTGAATCCAAGCATAACCCGCCAAAAAGCAAAGACAAGTCCTTGAACTGTCTGTGATTTTCTCATGCATTTCCTGTGAACTGTTTATGTATTTCTTATGAACGTTCTCTGAATTGTCTATGTGTTTTCTATGCACTTTGCATGCACTATTCAAAGTGCATAGGAAATGCACAGAAATTCAACAGCGTACAGGAAAAGCAGAAGAATATAAAGTGCACAGAAAGTGCATGGCAAACGCATAAACAATTCAGACAATTCATAGACCGTTCATAGAAAATGCATAGGACATGCATGAGAAAACCACAGACACTTCATACAATAGTGCCAGACAATTTCATCAAACATATTGGATAGAACGGTCAAACAACTCAGGTAAAGTCATGGAACCCGTCATGGGAACTTTATACAGTGTTGTTCTGATGAATTTGCTCCTGAACCACTCACATTTTTCAGTGTGAATGAATACTCGGGTAGGCAAAGCTGGCAGCCTTCTCACTTACTTGTTTCAGTGTGCATGCTCAGGCAAGTATAGCTGGCAGCCTGAATCTCTTACTTTGTCAGTGTGAATGCTCAGGTAAAGTTGGCAGCCTGAATCGCTTGCTTGTGTCAGGGTGAATACCAAGGTAAGTAAAGCTGGCAGCCTGAATCACTTAATTGTGTTAAGCAGAGCTGGCAGCCTGAATCACGCCGAAGAGGTTGACCAGACCACGTGAACAAACCAAACTTACCATTGAGCAACTGCTGAAAACGATCACTTTTCATTACAACACAGTGCTTGTATTTTTTAGTAGAAACTTTCTAGATGTGAGTTGGTAAGTTACTAACCAGAAATATGTTAGTAGGAAGATCCTTTTTTTTTAATGTACGTAAAGCACAACAAGTATGTAAATTCCTGACTTCTGAAATTTAAGAAATCTGCAGTCTTAGGGCAGGGCTAGGGATACTCCTTTCCGTTTTGCGGAGAGGGGAAGTCAGCACTCTTTCCTTGCAACGAGGGGGCTAACTGCACAAATTCAGTGTTTGCGGTCTCTCTGTTTGAATTGTTTTACTCCATCAACGCGTGGGCTTTTGGGTGCGAGCCTCATAACAATTGAAAAAAACCAATGGGAGTAAATGGTCAACCATAGAATTGCACCGAGCCTTTGAACGATTACCAACGTATTCAGAATATGTTTGGATTGGCGTCCACCGGTGCTTCCCGAGGTGTTCGAAGTAACCCTGATGGATGCAGCCACCTTTGCATATCCGTACCGTAGGTTCTGGAAAGACTCTCTTGAGTTTGGGCTTGGCACGCCCAGTTTCTTTGAAGCCCTTACACCCCCTCTTGGTGATAAAGTTGTTATGGAATGGCCGACCATTGGCCGACCTTGGTATCGAGAAAGGGTGATTTCCCCATGGCCCGAATCAGCGTCAAAATGGCATCCGCATTTTTGTGTAGGTGCATATATATATATAGTTATTTGTATATTTATTTATAAAACACATACACTTTCGTTGTTGACGTTGGCTGCACGTCTGTGTCTGTTTTTTCAGGGTTCGCCGCATGGCTTCCAGAGGACTGGGCCAAGTTCCTTGGCCTCAGGCCTGCTGAGTCTCTGGATCGCCTCGGTTCTGACATACGCGGCTTGGCATGTGCTTGGACTGGGACTCGGGGCCAGGTGGAAATCCAGCTGAAGAGAAATGGCCGTGGTGGTCAAAACCGATGGGATCCCATTTTGGGGGGTTTTCGGTGCACCACCCATTTTAGAAGCTATTTTAGTGGGGAATTGGAGGTTCACTGGGGGGGTACGGGATTTTGACCCATGGCCAAATCATGAAATCCAGACTTGATGCAGCAGGTAGATGAATTACATATTCCATGTTCTCAAGTATTTTGGGGAACGCACACATGCACATGATCTCATCAATGCATCACTTCTCCACCCTGTGCCCAGCTTGTGTGTGGCTTTGTTTGGCATGTATTTGTGCGGGTCAGGGCGGCGTGGATGTGGGCGTGGGCAGAGGGAGGGGGGTGGGCTCGGGCAGGGGCCTGTGTCTGTGTCTGTGTGCGCGTCTCTCTGTGTGTGTGTGTGTGCCTCTGTGTGTGTCTGTGTCTCTGTGTGCGTGGGTGTCTCCATGGGTGTCTTTGTGCGTCTTTGTGTGCGTGCGTCTGCTCGGGTTTATGTGTTTGCGTGTGTTTTGCGCGTTTATGTGTTTGAGTGTTCGTGTGTTGGAGTCCTTCAATGTTTGCAATTTGTTTGAGCATGTGCGTCTTTGAGTGAGTTTGAGTGCTTGCGCCTTGTGCGTGTAGATGTTATACAACGATCCCCTTTGGACAAGGCAGTTCAGTTGTCCCTGAGTCCAAGGGTTGGATGAATCATATTCCTCCTGTTTTGTCCTTGTTTTGGGACGGTGCTCTTGTTCAAAGAAGGGTTCAACCCAACACATGGCCACGGTGCCTTTCAGGCGACTGTGCACAGTCCGGTCGCCAGAGGGGCCGGTAACATGCCTCGTAGGTACGTAAATGCAAGACACAATGTCTCCGAAATCGGCATAGGGTCCGACCCCTCTGTCGGTTGGTGCCACTCTCCTTTTTTCGCTTGCAGCGGCGTCTTTCTGCCAGACCCGCCCGAAAGTAAACTCCTGTCTGTCAACTCATGGAATTTTCCCTGGGAGGGCAGGCGCCTCAACCGGGGTCTTTGACTTCAAGGAAGTGGGGGCAGCCTGTTGCCATCCAGTCATCCAGGAAAAGTGATCTTGCCATCCAAGGCTCTACATGTTTGGCCCTCGAACTCAAATGGGCTTCAAGGAAATGGTCTTCTAACAGGAGCCTAACAACTGTTTCCATGTCTGCGGGTGGCTCCTTTTGATTGCTGTCCCACTTCAAGGCCACCCGTTCTAGGGGAGATCTCGCTTGCCTGAGGGATGCTGCAGCTCTTACTGTCAGAAGGGCAGCTTTTATGAGCCCATCACGGTGACGCGGCGAGCCCAAACCCAGACAGAAAGGCTGCGTCTTAACTCCTTGGGTTGATCTGAAAGACCATTCCAACCAGTGGTGGCCCCCATTTGAAAGGGGAACCTGATTGAAGTTGGGAAGTCTGCGGGATCAGTCCCAAGTTGACATTGTGATGTGATGTTGTTTTGTTTTGGCGTGCTTTAATATTCATGTTGAAGTGATACAGTATTAACTTTTTTTGTGGGGGAGGGCGATCCACTCGGGAAGTGAGGTACAATGTATACAAGTGTATATAGCTACAAGACACACACACACAAGCACGCCTACTTTTGTTCTTTGCGGCGGTAGCCAGCGGCTCGCTCGAGAGAGCTGTTTTCGTCTCGGGGTCTCGAAGCTGCTTGAACTCCGCATGTGGTTTTTTTTTGTTGTTGAAAGAAACATGGGCAATCATTCGTTGTTGCATTTTGCTTGGATGTTAGGACTTCAACTTTGTGCCAACTAGTGGGTTTTCCATTGAACCACTAAAAGTTAAACTTTGAGCAGGGGAGCAGAAAGCAACCGAGATTTGTTTGGACAGTGTGTGCATGCTCGTGTTCAACAGGGCTAGTTAGCCCAACCCTGCGGCCTTTTCCTCTCTCGATTCGAAATCCGGAGAAGAATAGTTGTGTTTTCCCCTTTTTTTCCAGACCCCCTTGTTCAGCACCCAGATCAGAATCCCCGCCCTCATGACGGTTTGTTGGGGCCAAGGAGGCAAACCTCATGGGCGAATTTAATTAATCCTTTCTGTGGTATCCTCCACGGTTTTTTTTCCAGCCGTACCCTCCCTTTCCATATTCCTTTCAGGGAGGAACCGACGCCCAGCGGTCAGGTGGGGGGTCAAGGTTCCCATGCAGAAATGCATAACTTGTCCTGACAAGAAGAGTGCCACTGTTGGAAATTATAACTGAATCGCCACGGAAGAGGAAGGCAAGAGGATAGCAAGGCACTAAAAGCACAAGGATTTAAAGCACCCACCCGTCCAAAGCTAAAGTTTCAAGCCCTGTTTGTGGCCTTTGACTAGTGGTTGGTGGCTAATTAGTTGCCCAAGTTTTAAAGATCCTCTGAAAGCTTGTTTGAACCTTCTGTGCTTGTAGGTTTCTTCATTTAACCTAATTAATGAAAAACACAAAAACAGATTCCTGGGATCTCTTTTGAGATTATTCTCGATTTAAGTCATTAAGCAGATTGGGTTGGGGCAAACGCTGTGGTATTGATTCCTTTTTCCACCGAACGGGTGGGTGGCCGCGGCTGGCGTCAACTGCAGAGAGGGTTTTGGATTTGGACACTTCGCTTGCAGCTCAGGTGAGCAGCATTGCATGGAAGCGGAAAAAGGACTGGCGCATGTGCCCTTCGAATTCGCGGGTTCGCTGTTTTGCTCATCTGGGTCCAACAATACATTAAAGATTTCGGCAAAGAAAGAATCAGTGTCACCAGCTGAACTAGAGGATTTTCGCTATGCAGGTGGCTTTTGCGTGCATTTGTGCAAGAAGTGTGAACTTGTTCAGGGGATCTCAAAATAACTATTTTGGGTGGTTTCCCTTTAAGCCACCGGTGAAAGGAGTGTTTTGAGGATGTCACTTTGACATGCCCAGTTTCATTTGCGGTGCACCCGGTGCCCCCTTTGTTCATACTGGCCACCGGGTGTTGTCATGTTCCCTCGTTTGGATCAGGAAATCTCCAAAAGATGGCCAGAGATGTTGAATTTTGTCAGTTTCCAATGTGGGCCCCACATTTTAATCCGGGTGTGAAACACAAAGCACGAAGGATCCCTTCGTAAGCGATACACCCCCCCAAAGAAAGAGCAGCACGTAATCCTCCAATTGGTGGGTTGGATTGGCGGTTTGGGGATTTGAATTGCTGGCCATTCTGCAGCCAGTGATAACCATCCCCTATGACTTTCTGTAAGGGAATCCTTCGGTTCATTCCCAAAACTCTGTGTCATTCCTACTGAGCACCAGCAATTCTTGTTGGAGGGAGAAGCGGGACGCGAACTTGCGAACAATCTGCTTGAGAAGGGACAGGCAAGTAGCACATCTGTTTTTTCTTTTCTTCGCTGATTGCACGGGGTGTCACATTAGTCTTCCTAAGTCGTATGTATGTATATATATATATAGATTTAACAAATTGTATCTATTTGTTGGGGGCCGACTGGGCCGACACCCAAAGGAAAGTTTAAACGTCAAACTCGAGATTTGAACCAGACCACACACTGGACGTGCTGCAACTGCGCGACGCATACCTTGAGGCTTCAGTTGAAACAGCCAAGGCCCTGCTTGTTTCAAAATTAGTCCATAAACCTTGACTATGTCAGATCGTAGTGGTTTCATTGATGTCTCACTGTGGCTTACGGATACCCCATCTTGTTTGCACAACCCAGTTTGATTTTGATGCAATTCCTGCTGCGACAGGTACCTGAATTACGCATTGCTGCTGCCTTTGCACTTCATCCGGTCTATGGAGACTGCATCTGGAGATCACAATGTGTACTCCTCTGCAGAGAAGGCAGGAGTGCAAATCTTTCTAGGGGGTGATTCCCCATTGTTTACAATCGTCATTCTTTTCAACCAGCCCTTCTCCTTGATTTTCGCTGGGTTTCTTGAGAGAAGAATCCTTTTGACGAAGCGCTAGCGCGGAGGGCGGTTCGAGGTTGTATGTCTTGACCATGGTTATGAAGGAGATAAGTTGTGCTTGTTACCACCCAAGAACAGCGGATTAGGGATATTTAGATCAACCGCCACTAAAATGGTCGTCCAAGTTATGCGTGATCGGTAGTTGGGGGTAGGGTCATGGAACTAAGTCTTCCAAAGCGGTGGAAGCTTTGATGTTTGAATCCGCCGGGGGTCCGAAACCCTGGAAGGAGTTCTTAGCGTCACGAAGGAAGGTCTTCAACGATGCCGTGGTGAACTTCCTCTCTGTTCGCCGCAGCATGATGCCCCCATGGCTGAAGACAGGGACGGAAGCACGGGAGAGGGCAAGACTTGCTTGCATAACTCTTTTTCTTTTTCTTTTTGCTTTTTTCCTCTCTGTTTATGCATTTGTGTCGTCTCGTTTTTTCACCTTATTGTTTTCCGATATTTTCTCGCGTCTCAAGACTGCCTCCCCGGCGTGGATGAAGAAAAAATGGAAAGATATAATTTGACAATTAGCACCCATTTCAGCATCACAGTCCACGAAACCACGATCGTTTTAAGGGATGCTAAGAACAGGAAGCCAAGATCTGAAACCTAAGTTCTACCAAAATCCGAAAACCTACACCCTAAAACCCGGGACCTATGAAAAAAACCATAGACAGCTCCCCAACTCAGGGTTTAGGGTTTCGGGTTTAGGGTTTTGGTTTTTGGGTTTATAGGGTTCCAAGATGTGGCTGTGCCATTTCCAGAAGGTTCCCATAGCGAAGAGTCGGCTGCAACAGCCCATAACAGGACAAGGCCCTGGCGCACTGGCGGCTGTCCGCCGGCCGGCTGGCTTGCTCTGTGACGTAGAGGCAAGGAATGTTTTGTAAGGTTAACGCTTTTTGCAAGTGGAGTGAGCCTGCTTCTTGCGAGGGTCTATCTGTGTGTTCCTGGCATTTTGTATTGTTCCAGGAAAGTTAACATGTTTCCAAGGTGTTGTGTTGAGAGCAAACGTTGGGTTCCAAGAATCTTGAAGACCCCGGTTTCCTTAAGATTATAGCGTCTTTGTGAGCACAAGGTGTTTTTTTGTTTCTGTTGTTTTTCGTGTTTCTGCTCGAAAAATCGCAGAAAAACAGAACGCAACCAGTTGCGACTTGCATTTTCCCAAGGATAAGCAGGGTTCTAGTACGCTCATCCCTGGGGACACCAAGATCGCCACGGGTTGGGGTTTGTGTCTGTTCGAACGGGAAGACGAAGAAACACCAGAAAGACAGCTTTCATTGGCAAAAACGCAGGACGCAATTGGTTGCGATCTGGGTTTTCCCAAGAGGAATGGGCATGGGGTCTGCAAGCACGTCCGAACAGGATACGAAGAAACACTTGAGAGACAGATACCCTTGGGAAAACTCAGGACGTAGCCGGCTGCGATCTGCGTTTTCCCAGGAGGAATGGGGTTTAGAAGCACGGTGATAACACTGAAGCCGTTTTGCTTCAAGCCATGACGGGCTGGCGATGCGTGACGTGCGCAAGCCTGACTTACAGGCGTGACAGGGTGTGCCAGCGATGTCGCCCAAGCCGCCGAGGCAGGAATAATGCGCGGCGTCCACTTCGCCGGGTGGTGGGAAAGAAGGCGCTGAGCCCCGAGATGGCCACCTACGGCCCGTTGCCTATGGCCCGGCGGCTGCAACAGCCGAACGGCACGCAAGAGCAGGAGCTGAGAGCCTTCCGCAGGGCACTGGAGAATGAGCACACAGACCTGGTAGCGTTGTCTTGCCACTCCACTGCTCACAGCATCCTTACCCACGCGCACTCCGTGCTGCAGGGCTTCTCCGAAGAGTGCAAGCTCCCAGCTGTGACAAGCGCCATGGTGTTCGCTTCGCTCTGGACTGGCATGGGCTTGACAGCCACGTCTATCGACGAGGTTGACCTGGAAAGGAAATTCTTAAGGATGAAGGGGTTGACGCAGAGGGACGTTGGGAAGGCTAAAGCTGTCTGGGTTAATGCGCTCAACTTTGTCAACAAGTTTGCCGTGGGTTCCTGAACATGCACGACGGCTGCAACAGTCTGACTGCCACTGCATACGGCTGCAACAGCCCGACTGCCACAGTGCGTTGGGGCAGAGCACTGCACTGTCTTTCGGGCTTTGTCTTCTCACGAAACTTTCGCTTGGGGCTGCGGGAGACAAGAAAAGGGACGGTACGTTGGAAGGGGTCCGATTGCATTTCAACCCGTAGAGCAATGGACTGTGTTTGGACGCAGGCTGCTGCAGATCAGCAATTGCCCCGACGACATTTCCTGCTGTGGAGACCAGGACCGCCAAGCCCCTGAAGCCCAAACCCTCAAACCCAAAACCCAAACTCTCCCAAATTAAACCTATCATTTGGCTCGGCTGCAACAGACTAACCTTCTAACCTAAAACCCCTAACTTTGGGTCGGCTGCAACAGCCCAACCCTCAAACCGAACCCTGAAACCTAAAAGCCAAAATTCTTCCAAATTTAACCAATCGTGTGGGTCGGCTGCAGCAGCCCAATCCTCGAACCCCAAACCCAAACTTCGGGTCGGCTGCAACAGCCCAACCCTCAACCCAAACTTTGGGTCGGCTGCAACAGCCCAACCCTCAAGCCCCAAATCCAAACTCTCCCAAATTTAGCCAAAATTTCCGGGTCGGCTGCAACAGCCCAGACCCCATCGTTCGAGTCGTGTTCAACAGCCCAGGCCTCACATATCATTCAGGTTGGCTGGAAGATACCTCCCTCGAATCCCCAAATCCAAGACCCCAACTTAAATCTCCGGTTGGCTGCAACAGCCGGCAGCCCCCAAGTTCCCCGAAAGCCTATGGCTGTTTCAGCCGTCACGATCCGTGGAGGACAGCAGCAGGCTCGTCGGCTGCCGATCCACGCCTGCCAGCCAGGCAAGGGGGGCTTTAGGGTTTAGGATTTTGCGGTTGGGGCTGGGGCCCTTGGTAGTGTCAGAGCTTACCAGAGCACTCGGTCGGCTGCAACAGCCGCACAAGAGCATGTCTGTCAGCGAAGTGAAGTTTTTCCAGGTTTCTCTGTTTTAAGGAAGTCGGTCAGTTGTTTTCTGAGGCGTGTTCGGGATATTTTCCTTTCGGTTTTCCCCCATGCCCTGGGCCTAGGGACCCCAAAATGTAGCCCTTGTTGACTTTCCCCCAGGGAAAGGGAACCGAAAAGGGAACTGGGGGGGGGAACACACCGGAACAAGACTTTCTCTCGAAGTCTGGTTGACAAACTGTTTCTGTGAAGCTTCCGGCAACCTGCCCAAACGTCCCTTCATGGAGCCATTTGGGCTAGGTGGGGGTGTAGGGGGTTGATCTTTAGTTGAAGTTGTTTTGGAAATGTTGCGGCATTAATAAGATAAAACTGGTCATGTATATCAGTCTGCACACATAGTATCTTCATAATGGGCTGCCAACAGTGCTGCAAGAAGCACTGCGCGATGTGCAAGTTCCGCCGCTTGAAAGCAAAGTGGCGTCAGCAGCTGGGGACATCCAAAGGGGAGCAGCGCTGGTTGATGGCAACGACGACAAAGCGGGGCTGGGGCGTGGGATGTCGTGTGTGCGCTGGCAATAAGATCCGATCTTCCTTTGGCTTGTTCAGGCTGAGGAATGTCAAGCAGCTCCAGCTCATCACATTCCGGCGTCATCAGCAGTCCGTGGTTGCTTGCCGGCTGCAACTGCCCGCCTGACGCCTCTCGCGAGCAAGTTCCAGGAGGTGCTTGAAGCCAGGCGAGGCAGGCGCTCACTGTCCGAGATTGCTGCGAGCCTGAAGTTGAATCGCCAGCGTCTCCTCAAAATGCAGTTCTGCCTTGCCGAGAGCCACCGGCATTATGTTCGTTTGTTCCTGAAGAAGGCGAAATGCATCGTCCTCCACGCGGATGCCAAAGGGGGCCGATTGGTCACCAGATTTTCTGCCACGACCGCTCGGCTGAGGCATCTTCGGGGCACGTTGCCGTTCCAGAAGGATCATAACTCCACATTTGACAGACCTGTGCACCCCGTATGTTGGGGCCAAGCCGAGCTGTGGCTAGGTGGAACTTAGTCTTAAAGCTAGGACTCTAGAGGTTGGTTATGTGGGGCGGCTGCAACAGCCAGACAAGGCACTGCTGGAGCACGTTCAGAAGCATATTGAGGTATTGGATGGCGATGCAGCGGCAGCTCAGCAGGGTGGCCTCCAGATTTTCGCAGAGCGAGCGCAGCTGTCGTCGCTGAAAGTCCGCGTCCAAGACCCGACGCACGCATCCAGAAGGACAGCAGGGGGAGACTGAGAGAGAGAGAGGGAGGAGGTGGAGGGCATTAAGGGGGAAGTCCTGGAGTTAAGGGCTTTGGGTTGAGGGTTTAGGGTTGGGGGGGGCTGGGAGTGTCCGCTTGCTTTTGTTTGCATTCCGAGCCCTGAGCTTAAGCCGCCTTTTGCGATCAGAGCCCTCAGTGTGAGCATGCTTCCTTCAGCGTTCGGAACTGCGTTCGTGGCTTCAGCAGAGACGACGCCTAGCAATCTGACTTGGGTGATTTTCGATGCCACTGATGTGTTATAGCCAGTCGTAGCCAAGCCTGATTCCAAGCGCGCAGACAAGCAGATGGCACGCACTCTGCCTCACAGATAGATAAACACAGGGTGCAGTCCGAAGCGTCATGTCTGGCAGATGGCAGAGCTGGGGCGGTGGCGGTTGGTGGGGCGACAGGCGAGGTTGGCAAGGAGGAGGCGACCGCGGCGGCCAGCGGGGCAGACAGTCGCAGAGCTCCGGGTCCGGCGGAGGAGGCAAAGGCGGCTGTAACAGCCAGAAAGGCAAAGGGAAGGAGCCCGGAAAGGGCCAGACCTCCAGCAGCTCGAGCAGACATGAGTAAGAGAGCTTTCCTAATTTTCTGGGCTTTGGACTTGCGTAGAAGACTGGATAGATAGTATTAGTTGGGATACCGAGGTCGGAGTCAGGCGGATGCGGAACTACCTCTCCTCGCGGAAGCGGCTCTTGATGTGAGCAACATTGAGCCCTTCAAGACGGTAAGCCCATGGTACTTCACCAGGGCAGGCACTGGCAATCTTCGTCCGCAGGAGCGTGCTGCTGTGGAATCCTGGAAGAGGAGCTTGAAAGGCAGGGCATCCCGACCGAGCCTCTTTTTTTTGTATGAGGATAGTTGTGCCGGTTTCGTCGGCGAGGTGCACTGGACGCAAAAGACGAGGGCGTCCTGGCAGCGACGGCTGGAACAGCCATGATGAAGGACGGCCATAGGCTTTCGGGGAACTTGGGGGCTGCCGGCTGTTGCAGCCAACCGGAGATTTAAGTTGGGGTCTTGGATTTGGGGATTCGAGGGAGGTATCTTCTGGATGTGATGCTGTTGCAGCCAACCCGAATGATATGTGAGGCCTGGGCTGTTGCAGCCGACTCGAACGATGGGGTCTGGGCTGTTGCAGCCGACCCGGAAATTTTGGCTAAATTTGGGAGAGTTTGGATTTGGGGCTTGAGGGTTGGGCTGTTGCAGCCGACCCAAAGTTTGGGTTGAGGGTTGGGCTGTTGCAGCCGACCCGAAGTTTGGGTTTGGGGTTCGAGGATTGGGCTGCTGCAGCCGACCCACACGATTGGTTAAATTTGGAAGAATTTTGGCTTTTAGGTTTCAGGGTTCGGTTTGAGGGTTGGGCTGTTGCAGCCGACCCAAAGTTAGGGGTTTTAGGTTAGAAGGTTAGTCTGTTGCAGCCGAGCCAAATGATAGGTTTAATTTGGGAGAGTTTGGGTTTTGGGTTTGAGGGTTTGGGCTTCAGGGGCTTGGCGGTCCTGGTCTCCACAGCAGGAAATGTCGTCGGGGCAATTGCTGATCTGCAGCAGCCTGCGTCCAAACACAGTCCATTGCTCTACGGGTTGAAATGCAATCGGACCCCTTCCAACGTACCGTCCCTTTTCTTGTCTCCCGCAGCCCCAAGAGAAAGTTTCGTGAGAAGACAAAGCCCGAAAGACAGTGCAGTGCTCTGCCCCAACGCACTGTGGCAGTCGGGCTGTTGCAGCCGTATGCAGTGGCAGTCAGGCTGTTGCAGCCGTCGTGCATGTTCAGGAACCCACGGCAAACTTGTTGACGAAGTTGAGCGCATTAACCCAGAAAGCTTTAGCCTTCCCAACGTCCCTCTGCGTCAACCCCTTCATCCTTAAGAATTTCCTTTCCAGGTCAACCTCGTCGATAGACGTGGCTGTCAAGCCCATGCCAGTCCAGAGCGAAGCGAACACCATGGCGCTTGTCACAGCTGGGAGCTTGCACTCTTCGGAGAAGCCCTGCAGCACGGAGTGCGCGTGGGTAAGGATGCTGTGAGCAGTGGAGTGGCAAGACAACGCTACCAGGTCTGTGTGCTCATTCTCCAGTGCCCTGCGGAAGGCTCTCAGCTCCTGCTCTTGCGTGCCGTTCGGCTGCTGCTGTTGCAGCCGCCGGGCCATAGGCAACGGGCCGTAGGTGGCCATCTCGGGGCTCAGCGTCTTCTTTCCCACCACCCGGCGAAGTGGACGCCGCGCAATATTCCTGCCTCGGCGGCTTGGGCGACATCGCTGGCACGCCCTGTCACGCCTGTAAGTCAGGCTTGTGCACGTGACGCGTCGCCAGCCCGTCATGGCTTGAAGCAAAACGGCTTCAGTGTTATCACCGTGCTTCTAAACCCCATTCCTCCTGGCAAAACGCAGATCGCAGCCGGCTACGTCCTGAGTTTTCCCAAGGGTATCTGTCTCTCAAGTGTTTCTTCGTGTCCTGTTCGGACGTGCTTGTAGACCCCATGCCCATTCCTCTTGGGAAAACCCAGATCGCAACCAATTGCGTCCTGCGTTTTTCCCAATGAAAGCTGTCTTTCTGGTGTTTCTTCGTCTTCCCGTTCGGACAGACGCAAACCCCAACCCGTGGCGATCTTGGTGTCCCCAGGGATGAGCGTACTAGAACCCTGCTTATCCTTGGGAAAATGCAAGTCGCAACTGGTTGCGTTCTGTGTTTTCTGCGATTTTTCGAGCAGAAACACGAAAAACAACAGAAACAAAAAAAACCTTGTGCTCACAAAGACGCTATAATCTTAAGGAAACCGGGGTCTTCAAGATTCTTGGAACCCAACGTTTGCTCTCAACACAAAACCTTGGAAACATGTTAACTTTCCTGGAACAATACAAAATGCCAGGAACACACAGATAGACCCTCGCAAGAAGCAGGCTCACTCCACTTGCAAAAAGCGTTAACCTTACAAAACATTCCTTGCCTCTACGTCACAGAGCGAGCCGGCCGGCGGACAGCCGCCAGTGCGCCAGGGCCTTGTCCTGTTATGGGCTTTTGCAGCCGACTATTCGCTATGGGAACCTTCTGGAAATGGCACAGCCACATCTGGGAACCTTATAAACCCAAAAACCAAAACCCTAAACCCTGAGTTGGGGAGCTGTCTATGGTTTTTTTCATAGGTCCCGGGTTTTAGGGTGTAGGTTTTCGGATTTTGGTAGAACTTAGGTTTCAGATCTTGGCTTCCTGTTCTTAGCATCCCTTAAAACGATCGTGGTTTCGTGGACTGTGATGCTGAAATGAGTGCTAATTGTCAAATTATCTCTTTCCATTTTTTCTTCATCCACGCCGGGGAGGCAGTCTTGAGATGCGAGAAAATATCGGAAAAATAAGGTGAAAAAACGAGACGACACAAATGCATAAACAGAGAGGGAAAAAGCAAAAAAAGGCAAAGAGTTATGCAAGCAAGAAGATGAGGCCGTTTGGCCACTTGGGTTTCTGTGGCTGATCACATGTTCGCAGTTTTGATTTGGATGTTGCTCCAGCAGCACAATATCAGATATCATGACACGCAAGCAGAGACGGTGGTTTGTTTCCCAATAGGACATGCCCCCAATATGCTTCAGTTTGATGCTTGTGTTCTGTTCCGGGTCTTATTGTGACGCCTGTCATTTCGGCGTTCCTTCAATGGCGTGAGCCATGCCCCAAAGTCCCGAAGAACTTCCGTTTGGGAACTTGGGAGGGCCACGACACCAATAGGCCGAAACGAGAGAAAGCGACCCGGGTCCTAAGTGAACCAGCCCTCCATAACCTGTGGGATGCCAAGGCACGACATCGGGGCAGAAGGTATCCGGTCCAAGGACTTGTCAGCGCTGAATTCACCCAACTGGCGCCACCTCGTCGCCATGTGAGGGTCATGAAGACCTACACATATACATCAACTTTACTATCATCTATCTATATCTATCTGCATATAGCCTTCCTGGACCGCCTTTGCCCCCTCAGTAGTCGCCGCCAGGAATCGCGGCCGCTGGAAAAACCCATGGCGAAGCAAGTTGGAAAAACTTGAATTCAACATGTCAGTTTAAGTCTTGGGCACTACCCTCACAAAGAGCCTTTGGCTTGCTCTTGGGCGCATACCCTCCCTCAAAGCATTGTTTGGTGCACCGGGGGGTCTGTGCACTAAGCCATGCTGTTGGAATAGTTGTTTGTTTTACTCATAATTTGCACCACCCTCCCACCAATAAACATGGAACCTGACAGGGGTCCTGGAAGATCATTTTCCGTTTAAATTGACCCCCTGTCAGGTTTCCTTGTAAATTGGTGGCAGGTCACTACAATCTCAGGCAACCCTGAATTTGTGGTTTGGGGTTTTGACCCCCCAATCCAAAAACAACAAACGGGGGAATTGAGGAACCTTCGTCATGGACTCGCTTGTTTGTTGGAGGGGACTTTGGCTGGTGCGCAGTGAGGCAGACGCAGACACGCAGACAGAGACACCGAGGCAGAACGAGACTGGCACACAGACACCCGGAGAAACTCGGAGACATACAGACACACACGCAGACACAGCGACACACACACACACAATACATCTATGCATATGTATATAGCGCACCAGACCTTCCCACCTATGCCACCAGCAAGAAAGCGAGAAATTGACCAGTGCAAGGCCAACATGTCTGCAAGCAACAGAGGCGAGACAGGCGAGGAACACCAAGGGCAAACCAAAGCATCAAAAAGAGGAAAACAAAT